AGGGAAGGGAAGGGAAGGGAAGGGAAGGGAAGGGAAGGGAAGGGAAGGGAAGGGAAGGGAAGGGGTAAAGCCAGTAGAGAACGAGGGAGGACAGTGCAGAGCAGGCACAGGAAGGTGCTGGGGAGGATCCTGCACACCCAGGGGTCCCGGGGTGCGCCAGACCCCGAGCTGTGCCAGGAGCCCGGTGCCTGGGGCCAGCACAAATCTGCTCCTTGCTGTGCTCTGAGCTCCCAGAGGGGATGGTGGGGAGGGCTGGGAGGGGAGCGGGGGCAGCACCAGTGACAGCTTCTGCTCCCTCCCTGCCAGCTCCTGGGTGACATCCTCATCGTGGTCCTGGCCGGCCACTTCGGCAAGGAATTCACCCCCGCCTGCCAGGCTGCCTGGCAGAAGATGGTCCGTGTGGTGGCCCACGCGCTGGCCCACGAGTACCACTGAGCCCCCTGGGAGCCTGCCTGCCTGGAGACACTCCTGGGGAATCTCCTCGGGTCCTGCTGGGCTCCAGTCACACAATAAACCAGCTGCTCCAGCCACCAGGAGATGTCTGGCTCTTTGTGGGAACGGGGAGGGAGGGACAGGGGGCTGGGGGAGGAAATGCTCACAAACGTGGGATAAAATGAGCCACAATCTCCTTCACGCAAGTGAAACTCATCCAAGACGGAGATCCCAGGGCAGTGTTCGGGACTAAACCCAAATAAACACCACAAAATACAAAATACAAACAGGAACGCCCTGTCACTTTTTGGAGACATCAGGTGACATTGCTTGGTTTAATGTTTGAAGACTTTCACAGAGTGAGCAGAGAAGAACTGTGCAATAATGTGCACTGGGAGAAGTGACAGGGAGATTGGGGCCATGGCTTGTAACTTCCTGCATGTGGGGCTTTGTTGGCTTGGGGTTTTATTGAAAGCCATTGTCATTCTTAGATTAGCAACGACTGTACCAGACACAGCCCTCAAGAATCGGTTGGATGGGACTTGGAAAAAATCTGGAACAGTGGAAGGTGTCTGTGCCTATGGCAGGGGATGGACTGGATGAGATTTCAGGTCCCTTGCAGCCCAGCCTAGTCTGGGGTTCTGTGACCCATCAAACACCACAGTGCTGCTTGCAGAGGGAACAGTGCCACCCCAGCCTGGCCAGGGTCCTTGGCCGAGCCCCTCCTGCAGTGAGCAGAACAAGCACAAACACTTTGCTCCAAGGTCATCCAGACCCCAGCAGGGCATCCCCGTGCCCCATGAGTCCCCTGCACCCCACTCCCACCTTCAGCTGGGCACAGGGGCAGAAGGGCAGCCCCAGGAGACCCAGCTGCCTCTCCCCCTTCTCAGGACTGATCCTCTGGCTGCTGAGCCCCTGTCAGGCTGCACATCTGTGCAGATGTTTTTTCTTCCTGGAAAGGGTGCTCAGGCCCTGGCAGGGGCTGCCCAGGGAGCTTTGCAGTGCCCATCCCTGCAGGTGTCCCCTGGAGGTGGCACTGAGTGCTCTGGGCTGGGGACAAGGTGGGCATGGGGCCCAGCTGGGACTCCCTGGGCTGGGAGGGCTTTGCCAGCCCCAGGGATTTGGGGATTCTGTGGGATCCCAGTAATCCCAGTGTTCCCAGCTCTCCTCATGCCCTGTGAGCCAACAGGGAGCTGGTTTCCCTGGCTTATAACATCTCCTTTCCAGCCCTGCCTGAGCTTTGCCGAGAGGTTCTTTGGGATGGGAGCTCCCTCTTGGCTGCGAGGCCTTGCCGTGGTTTTAGCCGTGTCATCCTGAAGTGAATCAAACTCCTGAAGAGCTGATGGGAAGCAGAGGGACAGGCCCTGCAGGGAGAGGAGGAGGAGAAGCTGGTGCGTTCAGAGGGAGAACCCCGAGTGCCGCTCCAGCCTCAGGGGCTGGCTCCAAGGGGCAGCAGCCTGGCAGCCCCCGGGGCGCCGCTGCAGAACCCGTGTGGGACCTCGCCGGGAGATAAGGGCACCAGCAGGGTGGAAATCAGGCCGGGCAGGGCGGCTGGCCGCCGAGCCCACGCCGGAGCCGGGCAGCTTGCCCTGGGCCCCACCCTGAGCCGGGTCCCCTCCCGGTGCCACGGGCCCCGCCAATGCCGGGGTGTCCCGGGCAGAGGAGGGGCCCCGCGCGGGGATAAAAGCGGGGCCGGGCAGCGGCTCCCCAGCGTGCGATCCCTCGGGAGCAGAGCCCAGAGTTCCTCCGTGCCGACACGCAGCCCTCCTGCCGACACCATGGTGCAGTGGACAGCTGAGGAGAAGCAGCTCATCACCGGCCTCTGGGGCAAGGTCAACGTGGCCGAGTGCGGCGGCGAGGCCCTGGCCAGGTGGGTGCAGCCCCGGCCCTGCCCGGGCACCTGCGGGGAACCACTGCAGCCACGGGAGCGCTGACCTGACTCTGTCTGTCTGTCTGTCTGTCCCCAGGCTGCTGATCGTCTACCCCTGGACCCAGAGGTTCTTCGCCTCCTTCGGGAACCTGTCCAGCCCCACCGCCGTCCTTGGCAACCCCAAGGTGCAAGCCCACGGCAAGAAGGTGCTCACCTCCTTCGGGGAAGCCGTCAAGAACCTGGACAGCATCAAGAACACCTTTTCCCAGCTGTCCGAGCTGCACTGCGACAAGCTGCATGTGGACCCTGAGAACTTCAGGGTGAGTCCTGCCCTGAGCTGCCCTCCCCAGTGCAGGGTGTCCCTGAGCCTGGTCCCTACCAGGAGGGGGATTTGCCCAGCTGGGCAGTGCGGGAGGAAGAGGGGCTGGGTGGCATGAGCGGGAGGTGCAGGGGACAGAGAGGGAAGGGACCCGTGCAGCCTGGGGAGGAGGCACCACACGGGCTGAGAGGTGGCAGTGGCTGTGGGCAGCGGGCAGGGCAGGGGAGGACGTGGTTCCACTGAGGGAATAAGTGAGAGCAGGTGTTGAGCAGGAAGAGGCTGGAGCCAAGGGGGAAGAGAAGGAGCTAGAGCAAAGTTTGGCACAGAGGAGAAGAGAGAGATGAGTGAGGAGCCGGAGATGGCAGCTGGAATGCCAAAAGGAAAAGAGTATCTACAGAGAGACAACTTTGCTGAGTGTCTCAGTGGGGAATTAACCCCACCGTTTGTCCCTGGGCTGGGGCTGGCAGAAGTGCCCCTGTGTCAGCATGAGCTCCTTGTTTGTGCTCTGCGGGGTCGACTGGCTCCTGCTGTGCTGGGAGCTTGGCTGGGTCTTCTGCTGGAGACAAACTCCAAGACAAAGCCAGAAGGGACAAAGAAGAACTTACTCTAAAAGACTCTAGAGAATTTCTGCTTACTCTTCCCACATAGCAGCAGAACCTGAACCTTCAGAGTGCGAGCAGAGACCAGGTTTAAGGCGCATCTTAGAAAGGACCTGGGGGAGGTTTTTAAGACTGCAGATTTCCTGGAGGCTTCCCTGGGTGCAGTGTGAGTGGGGCTGGATGGGGCACTGCTAACCCGAGGCTGCTCCTGTCCCCACAGCTCCTGGGTGACATCCTGGTCGTCGTCCTGGCCGGCCACTTCGGCAAGGACTTCACTCCCGACTGCCAGGCTGCCTGGCAGAAGCTGGTGCGCGTGGTTGCCCACGCCCTGGCCCGCAAGTACCACTGAGGAGCCGCAGGAGCGCCCGGCAGCGCCCGCACCCGCTGCCGTCCGAGCCCACCGCTTCTGACAGCCAAATAAAGCTCGTGCTGTGAAGCCTGCCCGTGTCTGTGTGTCCCTGAGGGCGTGGGGGGCTTGGGGACACGGCTGCCTGGGCGGGCAGCTCCGGGAGGGGGTCACAGGAAATGCCCCCAGCCTTTGCTCTGGGTGGCTGCGTGGGACTTGCCTCTGGAAGTTGTGCTTTCAGGATTTTGGGTTGATCGAGTCCTGCCCTCCCGGGGTCACGCCGGGGGCTTTGCACAGCGAAACTACTCAGAATTTTACTGCAAAACCTGCATGTCTCTCTTAGACAAGGGAAACTGAGAGCATTCATATTTTCTGGGGGGGAGGATAAACAAATTGAAGACTTTAATCTACCCTGGCTCATCCCTGGTGTAAAACCTACCCAAAATCAGCTGAGTCACACGGACCCAGCAGCAGCTGGGTGGGGGCAGGTTTTAGATAAACATTTTGCTATCAAGGCCTGAGCAGACTTTGTTTATTCACATCCCTCCCACCCTGGCCGCCCACTCTGCACTGATGGGGGGGCGATCCTGCCGAGAGCAGAGACTTAATTTCCTGGATGGGAGTTTTGGGTGGGTCTAGGTGTCTGCAGAGCAGGACTCTTTCGGGTAGGGTTTGTTCTTGGCTTGGGAAGCACATCTGAACGGAGCATGACAAGGCAAAAGCGATGCTTGGCTGAAAGGAAGGGAAAATATTGGGTAAAGCTATTCATACCAGGACTTCTGGCAGCTGGGTTGTGCCATGTTCTGTCTCTGCCTCACCCACATCTCTGGGCACTCCCTCTCTGCCCCTGACCCACAGGAAGGTGTTAGAAGCCCCCGTGACCCATAAATGCCCTTTCTCAGTCACGACACCCAAAGAAAGAGGCATTTTGCTCCTGCTGGCAAGGTACACACTGAGCAGGAGAGGAGATGACTCCCAGCAAGTCCCACAGGGTTTTTCTCCCTGCAGGGAGGCTGGGCAGGCACAGAGTCACCAAACCCCCAAATATTTCATGACTTTTCTTAGGCTTCAGGACAGATAGGAGCAGTTTCCCATGAGGGTGATAGTTCACGGGCAGACACGAGTGAGCTGTGTGAACGGGCAGGTCGGCTCCTGCCAGCGCCGTGCGTGCCGTGCCAGCCCTCCCCTGGCTGCGTGGGCACAGCCAGACCTGGCTCCTGCTCTGCCAGGGACATTTGCTTGGGCTGCTGAGGGGGAATCCCTGTGTAGCACCCAGGAGAGGTTTGTACAAAGGTCTTTGCCACCGTGTCTGTGAGTTTCTCCCTCAAAAGTCCATTTTTAGTGCCAGCACAGCACAAGGGAGGGCAGGCATGGAGAGATGGAGGGACAGCCCCAGGGGAAGCTGCAGCCTGGGCTGGAGCACTCGGGGCAGAGGGAGGCTCAGCAGAGCATTTCAGGACATCCAAGCTCCCACTGCAAGATAGGCAGAACCAGGAGCAGAGTCCTGCTTTGCCCAGCATGGGGCATGGCACACTCCCTCCTCCTCCCACACTTTTAATTAAAAAAGGACCATTCTCTTCATTTATGTCTAAAGAGAAAAAGAAAAAAAATAGTGGTTTTCAAGGTGGACCTCAGG